ATCCACTTTATATCAAAAAAAGTTTAGACTCACATCTTGGAAAAACCAATTCCATACAATATTCAGGAGGTGAGTTTTTTGTTTTCTTTTTCCAACATAAAAATTCTGGATCATGAGAGATACTTACAACTTTGTATTAGTTACAGTCCTTATATACAGAATAACACAAGCCTGAATATAAACAAAACAACATAATTAGCAACAAAACTTTCTGGAGGAAACAATAATAAATGCACAGCAAACAAGCAAGTATTGTAAGGCTATCTTTTTTTTATTTTTCTGACACCTGCTTTTCTTAAATTATAACCTGAATACTATGAACATCAGAATCATGAGAGGTTCTTATAAAAGATTCAATTCCTGGGCCTGACTTATGAAGCAGAAAAAAATGATGAAGCAAAAGAACTGAACAGATTTAAAAGGATGAAATAAGAAGACAAAATTAAGTATTGTAATAAAATGTGCAAAGACCTGGATTTAAAATACTGTCTTAATTATCTAGTGTTGCTATGACATGATTACCACAAGAGGACTGCTTTAGCATCCAGAAATTTATCCTCTCAGTTTAGGAGGTTAGAAGTCCAAATTCAGAGTGTTGACTTTAGGGGAAAACTTCTTTTTTGTTGGCTTTGAAGAAAGGTTCTGTCTACCTTCAATATCTGTAGGCCCAGCATTCCTTAGAGAGCTGCATCTGTCTTGGCATTGACCTTCACCTAGCTCTAAGAGCTTCAGAGTCTAAACTTAGGTCCAAAGAAGCACTCCACTCCTGACCTTACTTTCTTAGTGGTAGTAGGTCTCTCTTTCTCTCTTCTTACTTTCCTCTTCTTTTATATCTCAAAAGAGATTGGCTAAAGTTACAACCTATTCCTATAAACTGTATGTAGCCTCATTCATATTATAGATATGAGGATTTATAACTCATAGGTCAATTATGAGTTTTGAGACCAGGGCTGATAAAATCAGGTCACATTGTGGAAATGATTACATTATATTAGATCACATCATGGGGGATTACTATGTATTAACTGCTAAACCATTAAGAATCCAGACTCAGCCAAGTTGACACAACACATTAACTATTACAAATACCAAAAGAAAAATCTGAAGAAAAACTCCATGCATCAAGTTGCAATGCTGAAGGTGTTTATGGGTAAAATATTTAATGACTCATTAAACATCAAAAGAAAATGAAAGGAATGGTGACTGTATCAACATGAAATGGTCTATGTTCAACCATTTCAAGGGGTAGCATATAATCAAAGCAAACAGTTTTGAAGGAAGAAGTACAAGTTGCACTGAAGGAACTGGTGAAAAGAAGGCTCCAGGAAATGATGGAATAAATACAAGCTCAGATGTTTCAAAACAATGCATGAAACACAGGAAGTATACACTCATCTAAACCAAGAAATCTGGAAGACTAGTCCCTGGAAAATGACTGAAAGAGACCCACATTTGTATGTGTTTGAAAGAAAAATGATCCATCAGAATGTACAAATTATCAAATAATATTATTATAACACACAAGTACAGTTTTGATAAAGATAATTTTTAAATGGTTACAAGAACACATAGCTACCAGAGATTCCAACTGAATTCAGAAGAGAACACAGAATAAGAGATATCATTGCTGACATAGGATGGATCTTGGCTGAAAGCAGAAAATGTCAGAAAGATGTTTTGTTGTTGTTAGGTTCCATCAAGTCAGTCCTGACTCATAACAACCTGAAGCACAACAGAATGAAACATTGCCCAGTCCTGCACTAACCTCACAAGCATTACCATGTTTAAGCCCATTGCTGCTGCCACTGTACAAATCCATCTCTTTTTCTGTGACCCTTCACTTTACCAAACACAATATCCTTCTCTAGGAACTGGTCCCTTCTGACAATATGTCTAAAGTATGAGATACAAAGTCTGACCATCCTTGCTTCTAATGAGCATTTTGGCTACACTTCTTCCCACACAGATGGGTTTGTTCTTTTAGCAGTTCATGGTACTTTTAATATTCTCCTGAATACCATATCTCAAATGCATCAGTTCTTCAATAGTCTTC